CTCCTCTCCTCTCCTCTCCTCTCCTCTCCTCTCCTCTCCTGTTTTTTAAGCATATAGTTGTTTTCTTTATATTGTTTGTGCATAAGATGATAACCTTCACATGGTCCTTCTTGGAAAATGCTTCAGTACAACCACACCATCAATTTGAGTATATCCACTTGAATAAGTTCCACTCCAGGCTGGCTGAATATGTCAGCTCTAATCCAGGAGATGTGTAGCCAAGTTAATATATCTCAGCTCTCAGCAGGCCCAAGGTCCAAAAATGATTCAAAGGACAACCTGAAGTACTTGGTGTACTTACAGAAAATATTGCAGGGTCTATGTAATCCAACCATGGACATGAGTAGAGACCCAGGGTAGAGAGAGACCTTACAAAACAAAACAGAGAGCAGGCCCTTACTAGATATACTTGCAGACTGGGCACAAGATGAAAAAAGATTCTTAGACAAGTGCTATTAAAAGCATAAGAGAGAGACATACTGCACAGACAGGTTTTCCTCAGTGATTTATCTTCACAATTTCTCAGACACAGAGTAACAGAAGACTTGAAGGGTCATTTCCGTCTCAACCCACATCCTGCTACTGAGCAGAATGGCTTCCAGTCCTAACAGTGGCTCTAGACTGAAAGCATGTTTTAATTTTAAATTTAGCCTTAGCTAATTTGTTACAATTATAAAAATAAGAGCTGATGTACATTTTGTACGTGTGCTTCCCAAGTACACTGTGCTGCATGCCAAGGTTTACTGAGTCTTTGTTTCTGGACTTCATAGCCTCATCTTATTCAATAGCTTAAGAAGTTGTAAGAGCATTACGCTCAGCCTGAGCACTGGTCTCATAGTGTATGCTCTGCCCCATGTGAGCCCCATGTACATTTTTTTTTTTTTTAGTACGTTTCCTTTATCAGTGGAGATTCTGATTTGATTAATGACAGAGACTCTGTTATGATTAACAATGATTTGACAACCAGTGCAAAGTAGCATTGTGAATGAGTTATAAGAAATCATTTTTACTGCGAAAATTTATGTTTGAAATCCTTATAGGCCTACAAGAAACAGCTTCTTTATTGTTTATTAAATTCATTTGGCTTATTTGATACATGGTAGAATCAGAGGCAACCTTTCATTGCTCAGCAAACCTGAGTCTAGAAAATCCACTGAGAGTGAATGGCAATTTGCATGTCTGCTCTTCTTTCAAAATTAATTACAGCAGAGATACACATTTCTGGGAACATTTGTCAGGGTGAAGGATCTCACAGCTTTGAGATCTGATGACTGAAAGGTAAAGGGTAAGATGATGTAAGATGAACAATTTTTAGAGAAAAAAAATGAACTGCTTGTTAATCTCACTTCTCACTGACAGTCAGTTCTTCCTGACAATCTCTGTGAATAAATTTTTACTTATATTTTTGAGACATTAATGAAACTTGCCAATTAAAAATGTGCATATTTATAGAGTTGCGTCTTGCAAAAGTCTGAAACTAGAGGAGACGATGTTAAATGCTCCTGAGTCAGTTGTGACATGTTGCAGGAAGTCTGTGATGTTTGGACCCTCTGGTTATGAACCATGCTCAGGGCATATGTCACTCAATTGCTTTTAAATGTTCCGTGCATGACTTCTCAGTTGGCTTAAAAAGAAGTAGGAACCATTCAGCCATTTTATTTGCTTTCACTTTTGGTTTGCTGCTACTAGACAGCTGCAAACACATATACTTTTGTGTTATTATTTGTGGACATAAAAAACGTATGAAGGCTAGTCATGAATACTTCACAAACTATTGTCTG